TAAAGAATGCAACACTTTCGATACAATATTCTGCTCCGAAACAGCTTCACCGTAAGACTTTATTTGATTCACCAAACGTGTAACACGCGTCACATAATCGTTGACCGTTTCCTTTTCTTCCATTTGAAGTAACTCGAATTGACGTTTGTGAGTTTGTAACCTCACAACCTTCACTTTGTTTGCCCCTGCATAAGCCTTTTCAAGAATTCCCCATGCTTGCTTTGCCGAGTCACAATCGTCAACTTTCTCAAAGTTGTCACTATCGACGCAAGAATGTTTCAAGAAGAGGGCTTTGTAGTCTTTCTTCTTCTCTTCTTTTTGAGTAGCTTGCTGGGCTGTAGTAGCCTCTTCAACAAGAGGAGTAACACCGGTGGTAATCATATCAAGCACATCTTGATAACCGAACAAGACTTTCATTTGCTTGCACCATTTGTCGTAGTTCTTCGAATCAAGAATTGGAAGGTTGGTAGGTATTTTATCGTTTGAAACGAACATGATTGCAGGGAAATAGGATCAGAACCAGGCTTGTGATGTCAAATGTTGGAACAAGATCAAACTTGTTCAAGGTGAATCAATGGTGGAAATTGTTATTGTAGTGATAGAAAGGTTAATTGAGGAAGATGATGAAAGAATAAAGAAAATTGAGATGAGAATATTGAATGACATTATCTAACCGCATTTTTTATCCAATAATATAATTGAGGTCTATTTATAGTATATAAACCCCTAAATAAACAAAAACTAATTACACTGTATTTGACTTGTTCTAATTATCCAACAATAAAGTGTGAAATATTTTAAAAATAAAAGACTTTAGAGATATTATTTGAACACTAAAATAATTTGGAAACTCTAAACAGCTTAGGCTCCCTTTAATTATTATAGGAAGTTACATTTTTTTCACGCTGCCAATGCAAAGAATTAAAATAAAGCAATGTCCAGCTTTTCTAAACTTTTATCTTATCTTATTATTATTATTATTATTATTATTATTTTTTCAATTTATAACTTGTAGCATGCAACTTACCTTTTGGAGACACACAATACTACTAACTCCAATTAGTGTTCCTTGTTCCCTTTTGGCAAAGTGTTTTTAAGAAGAATTTTGAAAAGAGGTGGAGATTTATTGATTTTAGTAGTTAGAAAAATAATACATTCATTTTATATAATTGTTGAGATTTAAGTTTGGATAATTAAACTTTACATTAATTAAAAATAAATAAAATATAAAATAATATAGTTAGTTGAAAAAATTATAATTTTTTCGATTAGAGATTGATTCTAGAAAGAAATAATTTATATAGAATGAACAATAATAAAATAATAGAAAATATGTTGCAATAATAATCTAGTAGCAATACTACAGAAAAAATCAATGTGCAATAAAGAGATTTGAATGTGACCAATCAAAACTTATTGTTGTACTGAAGTCATTAAATAACCATGCAATCAAAGCATTCCACCGGCTATACTTAATGCATTTGCGTGTGGTTCATTCAAAAGAGAGAACATTTTGTTAAATTCCAAATATTAAATTTTACATTTTAATATCAGGGTAGTCTATTTATAAACAAATTCAGCTTTTACACGATGCAGGGTTGCCATTTTTCTCTATTGGTAGGTGCATGGTGCTATGTTTTAAATACTACCTACTATAGTGCGACACGTGTACACTTGCATTTTCATTTCAAATGGATGCTAGGTAGTAGGTAAACTAGACTTTTCAAAAAAAACTATCCACTCTTTCTTGTCGCCATAAATCATGCAAAATTGCAAACTTTTTCCCGTAAAAGAAAGAAAAAATTGAAGGAAAAAAACTCAAATAATCATTATAATATATATCATCACTATTAGAATATATTTCATAATTGTTAGTACTTTTTTTCAACCATTAAAAGAGCATTTTAAAATGGTGGTATGTAAGTGTTCGATTCTAGTTTTTACACCTATTGTCTTATATTATAAATAAATTTTATATTTTAGATTTATTAAATAATTAATATATTTGGTCTGTATAAATCAGATATACTAATTATTTAATAAATTTAAAAAGTAAAATTTTTTTATAATATAAAACGAAGGATGTACTTTTTTTTATTGCACTTTATATGTGGTTAAATCACATAATAGACGTGAATGCATATATGAGAAACATAAGTCAATGTAATAACATTACATTTGGGTTATTGGGCTATGGAGAGAAGTAATTGATCTCGATAAATTATTTGATATTGTGTTAAACAACTTCAAACAAGATGATTTTGGATTATCGAGAAGTTCATGTTGAGGAGGAATATAAAAAGATGAGCACTCACATCAAGCAGTGCCTCCGTAAGGTTAAAGATGAACACTTCACACAGATTGTATAAGTGTTAGGGTCATCCAAAGTGACACTTTATAATAAAGAATGAAGGTTTTTTAGGCTAATCACATGTTCACGCCATCTCAATGTCGACCACCATGTTCTCTGAAGCTCCACTTGTGGCTAAAGTTGATATTATTCTCAAGCACATTAAATTGTTCTCCAAATGGATATCATGTGGTAGAGAAGGGTTGCGAGACCAACAAATATTAGACGCACTATATAGAAAATGTTCTTCTATGAAAAGATATCTTTTATGTCCAATCACTTAAGTAGTTAACTTATGGATATGAGGAAAATGTTTGACGAGTTTGACAGAGTTTGTAGCTTTTGCGCCCTTCACGATGGTGGGATGCACCATATTGTTGTAGTTTATATTTGAAGGCGTTTAATATCCAAGATTGTTATGAAATGGATCGCTAAAGATGTGGAAAAACATCTCAATGAATTTCATTTTTGTGTCATGGTATTAAGTGGTGATAAGTCAATTTTACACTATGCTAATAAGGTGTTGAACAAGCTACGTAGAGACGATTCTTTATTTATACTTATAGTAGATCTCTAAAATATTTTAAACATGATAGATTGATTAAAACTACTGCGCGAGGTGTGATGCTCGTCTATTTTTTTTTGTGAGTTGAATTTCTTTATGGTTAGGCAAGGAAGTTCTACCTTAGAGAATATTATGTTAACCACTAGAATGCAACAAGATGGTTCATTAAGGCATCTATTTTTGCTCTTGTGTTACAACCTCTTATTCACAAGATTAGAGACAATTGCAAATGTCCTCTTCATACTTGATATCTCAATGATGGGGCCGTCACTAGGGATTCAAGGAAGGCCGTTAAAGCATTTGACATCATTTATGAGATGTATCAGTTATTGGACATTAATTTGAATATTCATAAGATTGAGATCTTTTACCCTTTGTGTGATAGGAGTAAACATTCGTCGAATATTGTGTCACTTTAGACATTCAAAGATCGGTGTTGTAATGAAACTGCTAAGAGGGATTGTTAGTTGAGATAAAGGATTTATTGAAGGGTTATCCATGAAGAGAGTTGTCATGGTTATTGAGTTAATGCAACTTCTTCCATAACTAAGGTATCCATAGAGTGAGATTCTTCTACTTCGATCTTGCATAGGTATTGCAAAAAAAAATTGGCCTACGAGCGTTCCAACAAATTCACATGAAGGAGAGAACTATTTGGTTTGATAAAGAGTTGCGATAAAAGATTCAAGAAATTATAGTTGGTGGAGGTCCTTTTTCCAAGGAACTTTAATAGAAGGTGACTTCTTAATCTATTAGGATTTTGGCTTAGGTTTATACTCAGAAGTATAAGCTACCTCGTACAATTTTATGGCTTTAAGAGTCCAATCTTGAGTGTTACAAGATCATATATTAAGAGACAATGAGATGTGTGACATGACCTCTAATTTTTACAGAGCTTTGAATAATCTTACTCATACAATTTAGGTTTTGACCTTAACAATTTTACAAGCAATTACATCGTCTCCCCTAAGGCCCAACATATTTTGGCAAATGTTTTTTTTAGTAAAAGTGTTTAGAACATAGAAGTAAAAGTTTGACATGGTCAAAATATAGAAATTAATTTTTAGGTGTTTTGCAAACAACACATGTTCCTGATTTTCTCCTAGATATTCTCATTGATAGATTATGGTAGGTTATGTCACTAGCTAAGTATCGTACTATCCTTAAGTATTCCTTTGTGATTCCATTATTTTCTATTGATGATGTTTTTCTTATTTGTCATAAGGCATGTCTGAATATCTCAGGGAGCACAAATTCATTATAGGGAGATTTTATATTTCAAATATTAACATGACTTTGTTAAAAATGTCTTTTTGAAATATTTATGTAAATAAAAAAAAAATCTGTAAATAAAAAGATGCTTGTAAGTTTCTTGATCAACCCATAAGAGAAAGATCGATATTTAGGCCGATGAATATTCTTATCTATAAGTTGGTAGGAAAAAAACATGTATGCGTGAATTTAACTAAAAATTTTCTATTTTTTTAGTTAAATTCATGTATGGTAAGAAACCCTCAAATGCATGACAATGCTTTTTTTTTCAATTTTCTTATCACAATTTTGACTTCCTAATCATACATATATTAATTGTCCAAAAAAAAAATCAAAGGGCTATCCATATCAATATCACATCTCCATATTTGATTTAAAAGAAAATGTTCTTCTTAAAATTAATAACATTCTAAAAAAAATAAAAATAATAATCAACAATTTTGATTATGCATGTGTTACACGTTTCAAGTAAAAAAAATTAATGTATTGAAATTATAAATACATTAATATTGTAATTATTATCCACTTTAATTCTTGGACATATTTTTAGATAATTAATTCAATTTTCAAATATATTTTATATTTATCAATTTAATTTATAAAAATCACTTAAAAGTATTCTAAGATGCATTTATAATTTCAATCTACTTAGAGATTATAATTAACTTCTCTCTATTCAATATGACCAAAAATACACCATTCCCAATTTTCTACTCAAAACCACCTCTATTTAACACCTCCTCCATAGACAAAAAGCACCCACATTTTCACTCTTTCAAACCCCTCATTCTCTCTTACTTTCTTTCTTCAGAAATGGCTTCAAAATCCTCACTCATTCTCTGTGTTCTTGCAATCTGGACCCTTGATTTAGCTCAAGGTGGTTCATCAACTCATCATCAAGCTCCAACACCATCATTGGACTGCACAAACCTTGTCTTAACAATGGCTGATTGTTTGTCTTTTGTAACAAACGGTAGCACAACAACAAAACCAGAAGGTAACTGCTGTTCTGGTTTGAAATCTGTGCTCAAAACTGCTCCTTCTTGCCTCTGTGAGGCGTTCAAGAGTAGTGCTCAGTTTGGTGTTGTCTTGAATGTCACCAAAGCTACCTCTCTTCCTGCTGCATGCAAAATTTCTGCTCCTTCTGCTACTAAATGTGGATGTAGGTTCTTTCTTTCTTTTTTTTCCTTCCATTTTATTATTAAGTTTTTTTTTTAATAGTTTTGTTGAAGAAAGTTTCATTTTTTTATGTGAGTATTTGGTTTCTTCATTGTTCTTCCATTTGGGTTTTCTCAAATTTTCAATTTTTATGTCTTTGTGGGTTTTTTTGATTTTAGAACACTCACTCTAGTTTTTTTTTTTTTTTTTTTTTTTTTTTGCATTTTCAACAAAATTTGTTTCTATTTTTTTTACAGCATTGGGATTTAATTTCTATTTGTGTCCGTGTAATAGAATGTTTGGCATAACTATAAATTAAGTTGTGATGTTGCGAGTTTGAATCAGCATCAGAGCAGTCAAATCTTCGGCATAACTATCAACTGAATTGTGATGTCACGGATTTGAATCTGAGTGCTGGCATTCGATGAGTGCTGTCAGTCGAATGCCAGACATATTTGTTTCTATTTATAGTAATTGTGTAGATCAAATAGACCAATTGAAGACAGATATGAATAATGAAAGACACATTCAAAGACCAAAATTTTATTTTGATATGCAATTAAGGTCTAAATTGAATGTTATCTCCATTGTCTATTGCAATTTATTAGTTTTGTTTGTGTTTTTCCTTTTCATTATGTAACACCACTTCGGAATGGGTTTGTTTGCTTTGAATTTTTTCCTACTTTCTTGATCATGTTAATCACTATTGCCTTATTGTTTTTGCAGTGTCTGAAACTCCTACTTCCGCACCTGCGGTTGCTCCTGGTAAGTTTTTCACTTACCACTATTCCCCCTAGTCACAAATTTTTCGCATTGACACATTCGGTACATTATTGATCGTTGGATAAGATCTTATTTTTATTTTAATATACATTATATTTAAATTTAGACCGATCGATCTTGATCCAACGACCGGTTAGAGTGAATGTCTCGAGTGTATGAATGCGGCAAATTATGATTAGAGTAGACCTATTTTGTTTCTCACTTAGTATTAGTGTTTTCAACTGAGTTATTTTTTCTTTGTAGTTGGAGGACTCTCTCCACAATCATCTGCAACATCTCCGACATCTTCTGGTTCATCATCTTCGACTTTGAATGGTCCTGGAAATGAGTTATCTCCAGCACCAACACCATCTCTAGGGAGCACAGCATCAGAGCTATTCCCAATTTCAATGAGATCCTCACTTGTTTGCCTATTGGTGGCTATAATATCACTTTTTTAAAATGAGTTTTCATCTTTTCGTTTTGAGATCAGAGATGACATGAGAGGGATTATTTTGATGCTTTCTTTTGAGCTTTACCATTATAGTACTTCTTATATGTGTGACTTATTATAGTAGGTAAAAATTCATTCTAGGAATGACTCAAACTTATTTACTTTTGTACCCTCTTTATGATATATAATATTATTATATATGTCTACATATATTTTTATATTGCTATATTATTTATTGTTGTTTTTGTAAGAAGTAATTGTGTGAAAATAGCATCAAGGACTAAAATGTAATTTCAAGTAAGCACTATCATTTAGTGCTAGAGTTTTTTTTACATGGTTTTCATAGTCATCACACACAACTACCTACCTCTATTGGCAAAAGTATTTTTGGTAGAGAAAGATGCCCATGTGATGTGGTTATTGTTTTTATGGTCACCACTCATCATAACCACATAGGTTGGTGAGATTACTAGTTAGACAACAATATCCCTAGGATGGACCTCTAATAAAATATCCTTATGATATTGTAGTTCTTATAATACCATATTGTTGGAAGAAAAATAAAAATAAAAATTCTATCTTTTGTGGTCAAATTATGACACTTCACAAACACAATGAACGTTTAAGTCAATTGTCATACTTTGGCCTTTTATCTAGCCAACTAGACAAAAGGTAGTTGTTTGCATTGATCATTTGCTTTCTACTTTCGGCCCGTGCTTAATATAAGAGACTGAATGCAAAAAAAAAATAAAAACAATTATTTATTAGAAACAAATTTAAGGGAATTGTTTATTCCATTATATTGATTGAAAAATATCATATGAAAATTCAAATTTTGAAAGTGTATTTTTATGCATTTTTTGAAGCATGTTCTAAGTGAGTCTTAATTCGTTTTTGTTTCAAAATTTAGTTTAAAGAAGAATTTTGGACTCACTTTATATGCACTTCATACATTTTTAATCGAGACACACTTATTTTGACCTTATATACATTTTATGCATTTTTAATTGAAACATATTTATTTTGACCAGAATTATTAATTCCAAATAGCGGAGCGGAACGGCCGACTCCAAAAATGAAATAGCGGATAACGGAATAATTTTTGTTGATTTTTTAGAATTAATATTTTTAAAATTAAATATAGGAATAACTTATACAAATAACACTACCATCTTAAAAGTTTTATAAAAATGTAACTAATAAAATAAAAATGAATTAAGGACTTAATTATTTATTCTGATATATATTATTATTATTATATATTTTATTTTTAATGAAAAGAGGGCATAAACTCAATATATTATCATTATTTGTATTTACAATGTTGCAGAGTACATGTTGTACTAAATATGTTATTATTATTTTTATTCACAATGTATTAAATACGTTATTATTATCTTTATTCACAATGTGTTAGTGGTACATGTCGTAGCAATATGTTATTATATATGTTCTTCACAATGTTCCTTTCCAGCATGACAATGTACTTTGTAATATATTAAATATTACTTTTTACAGTGGTACAATTGTAAATGTTGAACACAACTTTTTGATTTTTCAATCCTTATCATCTTTATCTTTTCTATTGTTCTCTTTCTTTGCAAAGGGGAAAAATTAAAAAAATAAAAAAATAACTCCGGCAATCGCTCCGCCTAGGATGCGCGATGCAATCTGCGATCTTGTCGAAATCGATCGCGATTTTAGACGGCAAAACACTTCTCTCTTCTCGTGTGGTGGGTGACCGCCCTGACCGGACCGCATAGGATTGCGCCGTGAACGGCCGCTATTAATAACTCTGATTTTGACATATATTGATTCGAAGATGCATTTTCATAAATGCCCTAGATAGAGTACATAGATGTATTTCTATATTCACAAAGACAATAAATTTTAACTTTGTTTTGCAGATACACTGATGTAATTAACGATGTATTATAACTATACTATCATATTATATTTTATATAAATTAAACTCTATGCTTATCAAATAAGATGAAAATGTCATATGTAAATGAATAAATCCGAAATCCATAATAAAGTCAAAATAAATTACAAATGGTAATAGTGTTTCTACTACAAATATTATATACTATTGCGTATGCTAGACCCAAGCCCTCCTGTTCCTACGTTGCCTTCTGTATTACATTATCGTATGTGCCTCTTTCATGATGGCATCTAGAATGTCCCTCACTTTAGAGTCTTCTAGAAAGACTCCCCTTTCTATACCCGATTTGCCCAAGCTCTAATATACATCGACATCTAGGAAAAACATCAACTGCATGATCTGCCCTATCATGCTCCTCTTCTAGTATCTTCTGATGAGTTAGCTTAGGTGAATCACACAGAGCATCTAATTTTATATAAGGATGTGGCACCCTAATATACCATTGGATGTAGCCGTGTGCAGCACTCCAGTTGTTAGAAGCTAGGGTACCACATGTCATATCGGGTACCAGATGACTAAGGTAATCAATATACATGACACCTACACATGTGTGTGTCATAACGCGAAGAGAACACTTGGAAGGGTCTCTAGGAACAAACTGCATGTATCTGAACTGCCGCATAACGCACTAAGGCAGATGTGGAAACATTATACTTGACCCGCAAACCAGCCATCCAGAGTAGAAAGCTATGTCGTCCAAGGGACGTGTGTCACAATGATCTATGTACGCATGGAAATGTATATCCTTTACTACCAAGTGGTCAAGATACACTATAAGTAGCTATGTTGACTGATCCCCCTGAGCGTGACGAATGTAGAATCACATAAGCATATTCTAAGTCTAGGTCGGAACAAATGAACAACCGAATAAGCGTAGGAAGTGTTGGAAAATCCAAGCCTGAAAATGGTACATATGAATCATTAGTAATGGCGTAGCACAATTGTTATGAAAATGTCACAATACATAAACACTAAAAGATAAAAATATCTTATCGTCAACAATATGCAACTGCTTATCATTTTTTTGGTCATCCACATACAAGTTTCGGATAATTTGGAGTACAGGTAGACCAAACAAACGACCTCCAATTCTACTCATGGATCCGTTCCAAGTCAGCGAAGTATCTCAGGTAAACCACATCCACATTAATGGCACCCTTGTCCATAAAAGTGGGCATGCCAACCAAGTACAACATGTATGCTCTCAAAGGTATGTTGGGTGCTACATAACCTGTTCATCATCACCAGCGGCCTGCTCTTCCGCATGAAGCTGTTATGTATACAACCTCCCCAGAAATCGAAACCTAGCATGACACTCTCAGATGGCTTCTAACTCCTGTAGGGCAACCCCTGGTTTAACTCATAGATAGGTCACAATTATCTCCACTACCTCATATATGTTAATCATGTTGTGGTCTAATAGTTTTTTCGTGATCAAAAGATGCAGCGAGCATGAGACATCATCCAGTGTGATGGAAATCTCGCCATGTAAAAATGGCAGAAATGCAGTTCAATTTAACATAAAAAAAACATTGATCAGTTAAACTATCTATCAAACACATTGATCACTTAAATAGCATATTTAAACTATCTATTACATAACCTAATGCTCAATTTCTACAAATGTATATATAAATAATAAAAAGTATAGAGAAATAAAAAACTTATCAAATGTGAGTTTGATGTTGAGTTCTTTGATCAATTGGATGTTGATGGTAGAAACTTGAAAGTGCGTTGAATGAGTTTGAGAGTTTATGAGTTGAAAGAGTTTGAGAGTTTAGAGGTTTTGAGATTTGTCTGTCCTGGATGATTTTTTTTTCTGGGTAGGGATTTATTATTCCGAATTTCTTGAACTTAGTGTTGGCACATTATTTCAAGATTTTATCCATTGAATCATCAAGGGAGTATGCGTTTAACTTGAAGTAGGGTCCGCGTTCCTCTTCTTCTCTGCGACAATTGTTATCTCTTTCTTATATGTGATTGTGTCTGGTGTTCCATGGTACCTGGTCTCTCCTTCATTCTTCGATTAAGAGTTTTTCTTCATGATTTATATAGGGTTATGCCCTATTTAGAAAATCTTTTAACCTAAAATATCCCTCGAGCCTAGCTTTTCTCAAAATATGAAGTCTATCCTCAATCCCTTCTTAAGAATTGTGAATTATGTTGGTGCACCATATTACAAACATTGTTTGGTAGGTTAATGCCCCCATGTACTCCAAGATTGACTTGTAACAATTGAATGCCAGGGAGCATTTCTTGTATAGTTCAAAAAGGTGGTGGAAGAGATTGACACAATAATTTGCCTTGGTGAATTTATTGTGCATACCAAAGAATGGGGGAGCTTGAAACTCGGATATGCAAAGCCAATTATGGAATGACAAACATAATAATCGAGTTTAACTTTTAATCGAGTATCACATTATTACTCGTTTAAACTAATTACTTAGTAATGCTATTTCCAACGATAATAAGAAAAAAATATTGAACTAAGCAGTTTATCAAACACTTGAATAACTCTAGGAGGAATACGATCTTGTTGCGTAGGTTTAAAAGGAGGCGTTATCAAATACTGATCGTATTTTATTTGAGTAGGAGGAAGAGGCAGGGCTCTAACAACTTCAGCGGTTACACCAACAGCTTGTCGTTGAACGACGAATTAAGTGGCTTTGGATGCCACAACACTTGATGAATCTGAGGATGAGTGTATTGTAAGAGGAGGTTAAAACTTCAAGAAAGAAGATCGAGTGGTTTTGGATGCCATAATATTTGAACCTTGTAAAGAAAGAGATATGAATTTCTATATCAGAAGAAGTCTGGATGTGGTAATTCACGGGAATTAGATGTTGTTTCCCTCATTATTTTTGTGTGAGACCATAATGTACGATGAACAAGGAATTAAGATCTTGGTACGACGAAGCATATTTCCGATGCAATGAAGAAGGGGTTAACCTGCAAGGTTAACACTCCAACGTCCAAGTCAGTGAAAGAATGAGAAGCAATGTGTTATTAAGAATAGATTTAAATACTTTAAATGATACGTTTTTCTCTTTATATAGTGAGAG